GCTCAGGAACAATTTACTATAAGAGCGTGCAATTGCTGGCTTATGCCGATGACATCGACATCATCGCTAACAAAAACCGCGAAGTCTGTTCTGCCTTTTTCCAAGTTGGATAGGGAAGCAAAGCGAATGGGTCTGGTGGTAAACGAGGACAAGACGAAGTATCTCCTGTCCTCGCTAGGGCAGGCACCTTGTCGTTGGTGCGGGGGCTTAGCTGAATTGCTGATCAGCCCATCTCTGGTCTGCGGTATCGTGGACGCGCTCGTCGCTTCTGCGCTACCTTGTCTCCAGATTGGGGCTGCCGGCAAACGGTGACCAAGAACTGCCACCTCCTAATCCAGGGTGTTACGCGACACCGTGCCTATTGGACGGTTTGCAGCCAGGAGGGAAAAACCGGCTGTAATATAACGGCGCCTCTTCGACACCGGGCCGCATCGAGGAGTAACGGTGGCCTTACCGCGACATGGGGCGCTGGCGCGGCGGACCAGATGAGATCCCCTATTACAGCTTTTACAACAGTCACAACTACAGCTACAACAGCAGCAGCAGCCACGAAGACAGTTATGTCAATGGCACCAAAGGTACCAACGGCCAAGCTCGGCAGTTCTATGCTGGGCGAAAGTAAAGGCACCAGGCGCAGGGGAGGCTTTCTTGCGAGCCTATCCGAGGAGGAGGCTGCCCTTTTTATTGAACACGCCAGAGAAGATGAGAGGCCAAGCACTAACAGAGGCGGCGTGGATCGGGCGCAGCTTCGGTCGGAGGGCACCAAGGGAGCAGAGGCTCTGGCCTCAAAGAATAGGCACCGATCGCCAAGCAGGAACCGGGAGGCCAGTCGGCGTCGCTCCAGGAGTCGTGACCGCTTCGGGAGCCATGACCGCTCTGGGAGCCGAGGCCGATCCGAGGGTCGGCAGTGGGCACCGCTCTAGCAGTAGGCACCGCAGGTCTCCTAGTCGAACCTCATCGCTCGAGTCAGGGTGGCAGCTGCAAGACAGCAAAAAGAGAAGCCGCAGGTGTAGACCGCCTCCACTTCCGCCCTCCGGTCAACCGGGAGCCCTTGACGACCACCATCGAGCTGGTCTTAGTGGGTCGGGAGTCAAGTGGTATCTCCGGTACCTGGAGCAGGGGAAGAAGCCGAGCGTAGCCCGCGCAATGGCGGAAGTAAGACAAGAGGTGGAGAAAGAGGCACAAGAGAGTGGTAAGACGGCTGCAACCGCTGGTATGCAGCAGAGAGGTGAACTA